ATTTTCCATTATATTTCACTATAAATTGATAGGTTTTAGGTTTCTAAACATGTTTAGAACATCTTATATTCCAGTTATGTCCGCCTTTTAGTTACCAGTACGTAGTTACGATTGTATTGATATTAATTTGTCCTTTTTAATATGTATATTCTTACTTAAATATGAAAAACTAGAAATAAACTTAACTAGAGGCTTATAAATATTGTAATACGATAGTTGAACTGATAAATAGTTTTATACATTTTCGAGTAAATTCATACTAAGCAGTATTCAAAATATCAAAAGAAATGTTTAAAATGTATTCATACTAGCCAATATTAAAAAGCAAGTACATAAATTTAAAGATTATTTAATTGCGGAGTTGTATTTTATTGGGCTGTGTATTAAAATATAATTAGAAACTGGGAATTTAGCACGCTCTCAAAATTAGCTTTCCTAATTTTTTTATTATAATCTCAAAATTCTTCGAATTAAAAGCAGTTGTACTATTTTATCATTTTTTTTTTTCAAAATTCAGTTTATGCATTGAATAATATTAATTTTTAGTTAGATGTTAGTGTGATAATAGTATGAAATCATCTTAATTTTTTCCAGCCAAATTTTGTCGGTTTTGTTCTACTTTTATTATTCTTGGCAGCAGCATGATCACAAACGTAATCGTGAAACCTTGAACCTAGAATGGTGGAGGACGTTGACTTGTTTCAACACCCGATGTGTGATAGTCCTACAATATATCGGTTTTTCTAATAGTGTTGTACACATACATTTATGTATATTATACATCGCACTAGATCACACGGATGTTGATAAAAAATTTTGATTGTTGCTAATGAAGAGGCCAACGAGATGCGGAGAGTTGCACTATTACAGTATTGGTATATTATATGTTACACTCACAATCAGGACTAATAACATTTGATTTCTTAAAAATGGACAACAATAGCCGCTTRAAAATTGTTGGCGTAAACAATAAACATACAAACACACCTCTTTGTTGTTTATAGTATATAGCTATTATTATGTTCAGGCGTACGTGGATATAGTTTGAGGGTTTTCTTCCAATACAATCTGCGCTACACGACTTATATTTAAAGGAAAGTGATCAAGGAATTACGAAGTTATTGTAATGTCGTGTTTTTTTTWAATTCTAAAGTATTTTTTATCCCTAAACCACACCTGGATAGCAAACAATTTATAATAAACTCCGTCTTTCCTGGAGGCTTCTGATAATGTGTGCTGTTATAGTATTTGTTTAAACAAGGTTAATGTATAAATAATTAATAATGGAACCATCTACTGTTTTAATTTTAATGAAAAGGATTCCTAGAGTGGGTGTCAAGAATAATGACTTCCTCTTACTTAACTCCAGTAGCATGTTTTTTCTAAGAGGTACTTTGCGTACTAAAACTAGACTCATAAAAGACTCTTGACATAAAAATTTGTCTGTTGAGTGTTTTCATTACAGGTTTGGAGATTATTTTCGGGGAATGTAGCTGCTAAATTCATCTGTCTCATAAATATTTAATAAAGTAAWTAACATCGATTTTGAAATCAATTTGTATTATGAATAAAATGTAAGGGATTTTTTTTWATCTAAAATTGAGTTAACTTTATTAAGATATTATTAAATATAGTGTATTAAAGACTTATATTTGATTTATACTGAAATTTCCAAACTTATTTGCCGACATAAATAGATTTAAAAAAAAATCAATCCCTTATTTATTTATTGTTCAATAACTTAATATTCTYATTTCAGACTTTCAGAGTCGTTTTTATRACCATAGGTCATGGTTAAAATGAATAATGTGTAACTGCGTATTATTAAACATGTGCTTTAATTTAAAACTGTTAGATTTTCACCAAAAGGCATTCAAAGTCAAGTCCTAACTTCAATATACTCGGATCTGTCTGATATTGTACTAAAATTGTAATCTATTCGGTCWATAAATGGGTTTTTGTGTTGAAATAATAAATGCGAGGTTTGTAGCAAAAAACAAACSGATAGTATGGAAAGTTACAGAAGTRTTGGCTTACCAATTAAAAAATTATTGTACGAGGCCATAAACAAATATTAAAAAACAAATAATCTGTCATACAGAAGAAAAAAATATATCTGGTCTGGAAGGGTCTAGAACGCGAGACTCTCACGATCGATCGCTACAGACCCGTCGCGACGCCCTAGTATCCATAGCAACACGTTGTAYAGTGGGCCTTCTGTAACGTTTACGTGCGTATTATAATATCAAACCGGCGGGTACTGGCTATCCTAAAATTGAATATATCCGCCGCCCACCATCATGATTTGTCCGGCCTGGTATTTATTATGTTTTATTCCTCCCACACCCCGATTGACAGTATTTATTCAATTAAATCTACTTAATTAACTCAATTGGCAGTATTCAAGGTGTGAGTAAGATATTTTGAAAATAAAACCCCGTCGAGTGTATTTAAATCATAAAAAAARTGAATTAGAAAGAAAGACCCTCTTATTCATTCAGCATTATAACACTGATACTAACCTACCACCAAACGCCGGTAAATAATTACGCAGCTCAATCATATTTTCCTGTTGATCGAATAGTCGATATTTAGTTCAGCATGAAGTATAAATAATATGTTCGAATGATTGTGTATCAATTAGATTATCAAATTTTATTTTAATTGAATAAATCATCAATTCAAAAAAAAAATATAATAAGCTATGTGGATTAAGGGTTTTATTTTGCTTGTTTTTTTAAAAGTAAAATAATTTTATATTAGTATTTTTTAATTATGCT